TTGTAAGTGTAAATAATTATACATTTTATGACATCACACTTCCATAAATACCAAAAAAAAATCCATAAATTCAAGTAAAAGGAAATTATCTATTAAAATATTTCCTTTTAATTTTACAAATATTTTGATAAAAATTTTTAACCATTTGTTATTAATTTTACTTATTAACTAAATATATTTGTCTATTATATTACTACCATTACATAAAAAGAATTTGAAACTAAAAAATTTTTTTTGTTATTTTACTTAAATTATTTATGCATTTTATACATTTAGTTAATAATATTTTAAGTTATCTTTGTGTTCACTGAGTTATTCAAATAATCAACATATAAAATGCACATTGAATAATTTAAAATAACACCTGTTAATAATAATTTTAATTCTTGTTACTATTCATTCATCTTTTATGCATTAATTAAGTAAACAACAAAACAGCAGAATGATTCAATATAAATTTGAAAAATTGTATGAAAATAAAATCTTCGAAACAAATTCAAAAAACTTCTAATTAATAAAACCCAGTAAAAAAATTACTTAACCAGTCTGGAGAGTTGTGATATGGACAGGAAGACTTTCTTCATCTGTCCATATATATATACACATATATGTTATATTTTTTGTGGAATTTTTAAAATAATTGTCACCCAGGCTGTTTTTATTAATATACAGTAATACCCCGAACTTACGCGATAGGTGGGACCGAGTGATGACCGCGTAAGTCAAATTCGTGTAAGTTGGGGTATAATTTCCCAATTTGTGTAAAATCCAAGTCGGATGTATGTAAGCTAATAAATGTTCTCGTTAATCTTATCTCGTCTTTTGATTCGTTCACAGTTACAAGAAATCACCACAGAGTCTCTCAAGTCTCCATAGGTATAATAACAAACACAGAAATAAACAACACAAAATAAATTGTAGCTATGTGTCAATTCCGTGAGACACGTCCGAACATGTAAGCTGAACAATAGTGTGAGGGGAGTGAATAATCAAGAGTTGTGTGGTGCTCAAACAAAAGATGAATCGACAAGATTTGAAAATCGCGTAACTCCGTGTTCTTGTAAGTCGGGGTAGCGTAAGTTGAGGTATTACTGTATATAAGTATGATTTAGCCATCTCTGAAAGAAATTTTTATCTTACATGTTTTACAAATTGAGACAGATAAGAGATTACAATTAAAGGTTGACTCTTCTGTAAGACTTTTGTTCCCAAAGAATCAGAATTATATAGAAACAAGATTAACATTTTAAGATTTTGATAGTTAATTTAATTGTTCACAATAACTTATTTTTTAATTTAAAATCAAAAAATTAAACTTTAAGGTTATATCATATGCAATAGAAGTAAACACAAATTATCTGCATTTATACATTGCTCATGCACACATATATAAAAATTTTTATTATGTATATAAATTGCTGATTTTACATAAAATCAATAGCAACAAAATCAACAATTAACACAACTAATAAATCAAAAATAAATTCACTTAAATCAAGAAACATAACACATCAGTATAAAAAGAAAATATTGTAATTAGTATAAAAAGAAAATATTGTAAATATTATTGTAATTCAAACCATAAGTTGCCTTGGGTATGGTCTGTAAGAGTTGACATTCTGCTCATCACAATGTGTACTTTGAAACTTGTGATCTGTTAGTTTCAAATTAGAACTTGAGTCAGACTGCCATATTGGGACCCATACTAGACCGATGTTCATCACATCCCAGATTTGATCACAGTGGTAGAGTGATTTCTAACTGCTTTTGTTATCCAACCAGTGTATATATTCTGCGGACAAATTTTGGCCTAGGAATATGCACTCTATATATATTATTAGCATATATTCCTGGGCCAAAATTTGTTGGCAGATAGACACTGCTTAGTGCCCAAGGAATGGAATTTTAAATGACTCAATTTCATCTTCAATTTCAAAATTATAAAATAATATAATAGTAACATTTATTTAACAATCGAAGTAAGTCATATTTAACAATCATTTATTAAAAGCTCTTGGCAAATTATCTTTACTTTAAAATTACAATTACTATATAAAATGATTGTAATTTTTCAAAATCCTCAATTTCACAATGAAATCTCAACACAAACATGTTTTTGCTGTGATGGTATTGAGGTGTCAGTGTTGAGATAATATGATTACAATTAAAGCGTGGGGGTTTTTTGGTGACTGATCTAAGCCTAAGCAGATAACATGTATGTACTGATCAAACAATGACTATTTTATCCAAGAAAATAAGACTTATTTTGGAAAAATCATGATTCAGTGACAAGGTTAGTAAGAGTAACTGATTCTGCTTTTACATTTTATAAGGATTTTTATACAAACATTTAACAATTTACTTTAATATGTGGTTTACATAATTCCCAATAAAATCACTTTCATTTCAAATAATTATTTCTAATTCACTTTCATTTCCATTCAAGCAAAAATATAGTTGTCTGTGTTAAGCATGTATTTTCATACACTGATAATAATGGTTTAAAACCTAAAAAATTAAAAACATAGCAAATATTGCCAAACAATAACAATTTATTGAAACATTATTCAACAAATAAAAACAATGTTAATGCTATAATTTCTTCTTTAAAAAATTTAATTCCTAACAGACAAACTATTATGAAAACCTCATCATTGACCTATACCAGGATTTCCAACTTTTCTCCTGTAATGACCACTTTTAAGAAAAGTAGCTTTTGCATTAAACCATTATGTATATAGATATATAATTTTTTAATACATTTTTTTTATACTTGAAAAATTCATTCTCAAAATGTTTCAACTTGTAAATGACTGGATTTACTAAGTAATTAAATAATATTAAAATACTATATTGTATATGCCTGTATGATATATACAAAATTTGCTCATCATCCCCTTTTCAAACTCTCATTGACCCCCATTGGGTAACTGACCTATACAAAAATGCCCATAAATTGGAAGAAAAGTTTAAAATGATTTTGATGTGTGAGCTATATACACGAATGTACTTATGTATGAAATTAAAATTATGTGAAGAGTGCATCTTTAAAAATATTTAATGTATACAAAAAACCAACCATTCAGTTATTCAAATATGAATGCCAATACATAAAATAGAAAGATTTTTGTTTTACTTACTGTCTCTTTCCACAATTTTGTTAGAATTCAATTTTACAAAATAAAACAGAACATTCAAAATAAATTACATATTATTGGGTTAGCCAATAAGTGCATGCAGTTTATTGCTGATAGCTAATTAAAGTTAGCTCTGAAAAGCAATTAGTAGTTTTAACCTTGAAAACACATTGTTTTACAACTGATATTTCACTGACACTTGTCAAAAATAAACACAAACAACTAATCATTTGGCTTTGTCAATATTTAAAAGATGAGTGAACAAAAATGTGTATTATCAACACATTATGTTTTTCATTTTAAAATCAAAAACACAGTGCAAACCTGCAGAAAAATGTGGTGGTTACAGTAAAGATGCCATGAAAGAACATGTGTGGTTTGCAAGATTTCATTCAAGATGCACCACAATCAGAGGTTAGCCAGCTGAGGTTGACAGTGATCAAATAAAAGAATTAGTCGACAGTAATCCATGCCATATGATGAGAGATACAATTGCAGATATTTTTCAAATATTAAAATAGTGTGTGGAAAATCATCTGCATCAACTTGGATACACTAGCAAGCCTGATGTTTGGGTTCAACACAAACTTAGTGAAGTGAAGCTAATCACATCACTCACATTTCCATCAGCAATTTGTTCAAAAATACATGAGGTAAGTGATCCATTTCTGAAGTAAATGGTGATGAGGAATGAAAAGTGAGTTATTTACACCAACATCAATCACAAAAGATCATGGGGGAAATGCAGCAAACAGCCACAAACCACTTCAAAAGCTGGACTTCATCCAAGCAATGTCATGCTCTTGATTTGGAGAGACTGGAAAGGTGTTTTGTTTTATGAACTGCTTCCAGAAAACAAAACAAAAACAATTCCTACTTAAAAGTGTGACCAGCTAGACAAATTAAATGCAGCAATTCAGGAAAAGCATCCAGAATTGGTGAATTGCAAGGGTGTCATCTTCAACCATGATAACTGCCCACATATTATTGTAAACCTGGCAAAAATTGTTGGGAGCTTGGATGGGATATCATACCTCAAGCCTCCAAATTCACCTGACCCTGTCCCTTCTGATTACCACTTGTTTTGCTCCCTTCAAAATTCTTTAAAAACAAAACAGTGCTACGTTTCCAATGACATAAAACAGTACATGAAACATTGTTTTTTTGAGGGGAGACGAAAAACTGACAAAAAGTTACTCAATAAAAATGGTGAATATATTATTAAATAAAATTATTTTCTGAAGTAAAATGACTTATTTTCACCCAAAAAAACATGGATTGGCCAACCCAACAGTTCATTATGGGTATATACTTATTAATCTTAAAACTCACTAAGAATTATCTTGTATCACAAAATTCAATGTAAACTAAACAATGGCAATAAAATACCGATAATGCCACAAACAAAAACACACAATGAGAGCAGAGTAACCATGTACTTGCACTTTTATTTTACTAGTGGAACTAACTTTTCATTCACTTCAAAGTAATTTGTAATACCAGGATTTGAATATTGCAATTGGTACTAAACATTTGATAATCTGAAACTCAATTTTTATTTGTTACTTAGACATTATGCAGTGTAATAAATTCAAACATTAGGCATTCCTTCATCTTTTATTTTAATTCAGTTGACTAAACTAAAAGATGAAGGAATGCCAAGTGTTCAAATTTATTAAACTGTATATTTTTTTTTGTATACAAAAAAAAAGATGTCTAAAGAACATCATCTTTTTTGGAAACAAAGTTTGGATTAAAAAGCTATAAGAAGCATTGCTGGCTTCATTAAAATTATATTTATAAAAGAATCATTTCAACAGAAATATTATAAGAAAGAAAAATGTTTAAAGATGAATACTTTACCAGTTTATGTCCAGAAATAGTTTTTTCAAATTTTCCATCATAGGCACCCCATATCTTGATTAATTTGTCAGCAGCTGAAATACAAAATACATATAACATAAATAACATTGAATTTTAAGCAAGAAGAAAATTGTTAACGAAACTTTTTAACCTTTTAATACTCCTTTTGTTGAGTCAAGTGTTGAACAGAATTCTTTTCTCACTCTATTGCTTGATACACAGATTGGACAGAGGATTTATCAAGGCAAACAGAGGATTAATTGTGGTTTCTGTTCATTGAAAAAAATTTTGGAACTGAAAATACATGGCTATCTTAAGGTCGATTACGATAATTTTTTGCAGATTACATTTCCTATTATAATCCTCATTTATTTATACAGTGAAATTTGTTTTATTTTGTTATAACGGAACTAATAAATCGAAAGATCTTAAACTAAAAGCAACTAATGTATGAATTCAGGGCTACAGTTAAACTGTACTGCTCTAAAATTTCTGTAGGAAAAAGAAATCTATATACATGCTGTCAACAATTTGTAGTTTTATAAAAATAACCACAAGAAAGAAAATTTTATGATGATAATTCTAAAGTCACATGTAACGAAAAACTGTTGTCATCAATAAAACAATTAGAAAAATACAAATAATTATCAATTTTTATAAATGTAAAAAGGTAATCATAGAAATGTTTCATGAACTTTTATATTTATCTGCAATCTGATAAATAAACAAGAAATATGCTAACCATCAACAAAGTGTCAAATTAAAAAAAAAAAATGTTTAAAAATAGTCAGTGAAAACTTTTTAAAATCAAGTTAAGATTATATGTATGCATATATAAAATTAAGGATTAAGTTTTATATATATATAAACCATTAAAAAACATTTATAAAGTACATAAGATTTCTTAAGTATATCAGAAACAAAAATATCAGCGTGGATTCACCTCAAATCTATTTGATATTATTGCCTGAATATATTTGCTTAAATTTCAGACAAGAATTTTGTATATTTACAAACACATTGTTATAGATAAAAAAGGAGTATAAACATGCAAAGGAAAGTAGCATTATTTATATGAGGATTCTGTCATAAATAAGGTGACTGGAAAGATTTGAAAACAAAATGGGAGATTGCGGAAGAGAAAAAAAATAATCACACTTTACTACATTGTTATATTAAAAGCTCATTTTTATATTTATTATTATTATTTTACTATGCCAATTACAAATTACTGCAAATTATATAGCACATTAATAAGAATATATATTTTATATTGTTAAGGAATCATTTTTGTTTTTACTAATAAGCTAATTCTTGGAAATTTGTTTTAATTTTAATTGGCCAACTTAAGAAAATTTTAAAGTTGTAAACAATCCATTTTTATAGTAACATTTTGGATAACTGATGATTACCTTAGTATTGATTGTTGAATGTTTTCTACTATCCGTAATTCTATTAACGACTAAAAATGTTTTTCCAATGCTATACTTGTTCAAGAAAGCATATATTCAGAACATGTTATAAAAGGATACATACATGATATAAAAAAGTAACTTTTAGATCAAATGTCACAAGATTACATTAATTTTTATAGTAAAATCATTTACAAATGTAAAAAATTATTATTAGGTTTAATCCAAATTAATTCAACTAAATGTGGTATATTCAAATACAAGAAATGAGAATTATTTGACTGCAAAAAGTTCTTGTTCTCACAAATTCATGTTTAGTATTCAAACACTGCTTGGATCTGATCCTTATCGGCTCACATGACAGCAAACAAGCCAATTTAAGTACCAACAACCAGACTCATTCTGCCATCAAATTCTAACTAATACAGAGATCAAGTAATTGTGATCTAGCTTTGAGGAATTTTTAATACTCTGTGTACTTCAATCTCTAACAACATTTTAATTAACTTATTCTCAAATGCTTGGTTCTACTTAGTTACTAACTATTCCATACAAGACAAATTGGCAGCAATGTATAGGAAACACAAGCTACCAATTATATTTGTTTTTTGTTCTTAAGAATTCAATGCTCAAACAGTATTCCTGAGAGTTCAATTCTTAAAAGTATTTAATTCTGTCACTGATTAATTCTAACAAAGACTAATATTAAAAGACCTGTGTCTATAAGTCTCCTTGTCATGTGATCTTTGTTACTCTGAAAAAGTTTGAAATCATTCTCAGAATACAGTTATGCTTTGAGATTACCATAATACATAGTTTACTGCACAAAATTCTTGAAGTTTATACAAGCTTCAAAAATTACAAGCAAAATGTGTTACAAAAACTTTATTCAAGTTACTAGTTATAAGCAATTTTGATAAATATGTAAAGTTACTTATAATCAGTAACAAGCTACAAGTATTATAAATCATAGCTTTTAACTTACTTAACAGGGCCCTAAAGAAGAAGTGATTTCACTTATTTGTCTACAAAAAATGAAATTTTAAACTTTCCATTTTATTCAGGTTAAGTTGCATTTGTTACAATCAAAAAACCTCTTCCATTTCTATGTTAAATTTTACTATAACCACATCTGGTTCAACAAAAAATATATTTGTTCTGAAGATTTTAGGCAAGTTTTCTATTTTATTCAGGTTCCATTTTACACAANCAAGTTAAGATTATATGTATGCATATATAAAATTAAGGATTAAGTTTTATATATATATAAACCATTAAAAAACATTTATAAAGTACATAAGATTTCTTAAGTATATCAGAAACAAAAATATCAGCGTGGATTCACCTCAAATCTATTTGATATTATTGCCTGAATATATTTGCTTAAATTTCAGACAAGAATTTTGTATATTTACAAACACATTGTTATAGATAAAAAAGGAGTATAAACATGCAAAGGAAAGTAGCATTATTTATATGAGGATTCTGTCATAAATAAGGTGACTGGAAAGATTTGAAAACAAAATGGGAGATTGCGGAAGAGAAAAAAAATAATCACACTTTACTACATTGTTATATTAAAAGCTCATTTTTATATTTATTATTATTATTTTACTATGCCAATTACAAATTACTGCAAATTATATAGCACATTAATAAGAATATATATTTTATATTGTTAAGGAATCATTTTTGTTTTTACTAATAAGCTAATTCTTGGAAATTTGTTTTAATTTTAATTGGCCAACTTAAGAAAATTTTAAAGTTGTAAACAATCCATTTTTATAGTAACATTTTGGATAACTGATGATTACCTTAGTATTGATTGTTGAATGTTTTCTACTATCCGTAATTCTATTAACGACTAAAAATGTTTTTCCAATGCTATACTTGTTCAAGAAAGCATATATTCAGAACATGTTATAAAAGGATACATACATGATATAAAAAAGTAACTTTTAGATCAAATGTCACAAGATTACATTAATTTTTATAGTAAAATCATTTACAAATGTAAAAAATTATTATTAGGTTTAATCCAAATTAATTCAACTAAATGTGGTATATTCAAATACAAGAAATGAGAATTATTTGACTGCAAAAAGTTCTTGTTCTCACAAATTCATGCTTAGTATTCAAACACTGCTTGGATCTGATCCTTATCGGCTCACATGACAGCAAACAAGCCAATTTAAGTACCAACAACCAGACTCATTCTGCCATCAAATTCTAACTAATACAGAGATCAAGTAATTGTGATCTAGCTTTGAGGAATTTTTAATACTCTGTGTACTTCAATCTCTAACAACATTTTAATTAACTTATTCTCAAATGCTTGGTTCTACTTAGTTACTAACTATTCCATACAAGACAAATTGGCAGCAATGTATAGGAAACACAAGCTACCAATTATATTTGTTTTTTGTTCTTAAGAATTCAATGCTCAAACAGTATTCCTGAGAGTTCAATTCTTAAAAGTATTTAATTCTGTCACTGATTAATTCTAACAAAGACTAATATTAAAAGACCTGTGTCTATAAGTCTCCTTGTCATGTGATCTTTGTTACTCTGAAAAAGTTTGAAATCATTCTCAGAATACAGTTATGCTTTGAGATTACCATAATACATAGTTTACTGCACAAAATTCTTGAAGTTTATACAAGCTTCAAAAATTACAAGCAAAATGTGTTACAAAAACTTTATTCAAGTTACTAGTTATAAGCAATTTTGATAAATATGTAAAGTTACTTATAATCAGTAACAAGCTACAAGTATTATAAATCATAGCTTTTAACTTACTTAACAGGGCCCTAAAGAAGAAGTGATTTCACTTATTTGTCTACAAAAAATGAAATTTTAAACTTTCCATTTTATTCAGGTTAAGTTGCATTTGTTACAATCAAAAAACCTCTTCCATTTCTATGTTAAATTTTACTATAACCACATCTGGTTCAACAAAAAATATATTTGTTCTGAAGATTTTAGGCAAGTTTTCTATTTTATTCAGGTTCCATTTTACACAAATTTTACTATAACTGCATGCATCAACAATATTATTCTGTTATAATTATTTTAAAGTTTTAGTCTTTCAATTTTTTGTCACAGCATATTTATTTAAGAAAATGAATTCAGGAAATAAATCGCTCTCATAATTTACTTGAAAAAAATGTTTGCCATCTATTTCATAATACATTCAAACATTTTGACTCCAGAATTCTAGAAAAATCAACATTATTATTGAACCTGAAAGAAACTAACTAAAATTTCTAAATAAAAAATAAATTCATAAAAATTTGCTATTTTGTCAAAAATAGGATAAATGACTGTTCCAAAAGTTATTCATAGGAACATCAGAAAAATGTTCCAAAATGTGATTACCTTAATCATAAACGCCAATGAAAGAACAAGTTATTTAATTTACTAATGAATTAATATAAAGTAAATACATTGTTCTCACATTAGCATTACTGTAGAGTTTTACTGTTTATTACTGCAGAACTTTACAGCAAGCATTTTAAATAAAAATTATCAAATTTTATTATTATGATTTATAACTTTCATATCAATGCACAGAACAGTGGATGAAGTTGAAGGAATACTAATATTTTCAACTCAGTTAATGGCATCTTCAGATGAGAACAAAAAAATTAACCAAGTCAAAA